AGCTGCAATGGGCTGCTTTTTAGCATCTCTGTAAGTATAAGGGGTTGAACCCAGCTTTCCTGAGGGCCTCTGTCACAAATTTGTCCAGGCTGTCATAATGACAGAAAAGCAGAGGTCTGTTGAAAAACGTAAATATTTGGGGTGAACTCCTGCCTAGTGCAAAACATACAATGACTTCAGTGGGGATACGATTTTACCCTCGTATAGTTTCATTAATGGACTAGCTAAATATTGCTAACATCAGTGCAACTGTTCCTTTACTCAACAGGATCTTTGTGGACAGAGTTTACTACTCATCACAAGGCATCTTAAATATAATTTCAAAGCAGAAGTGGTTTCTGCTGCTTGAACTGACTTTACTCTACAGGCAGAACCCTAACCTCATCAAGTCTGTGGGGTAGTTTTACTCGAGACTGAGCTTTCTAAAGCAATGGTCCAAGGAGCAGCTCTGGTCTCCAGACCTTGCCATATGCAGAATTAAATTTTTTGAGAAGTACGTACCAGAGAACTAGGAGGCTGAACAAGGAGGGGGCTGAAGAAGGAAGATGCAATATATTATAGCCCATGTCATAAAAGATTTAGAGAGTCCCTGCTCTAGATGTCTTGTTGGCAGTGACTGCACTTGATTAACACTAGGTTCCATCTGACTGGGACTTAGCAGCTGTTAATTCTTATTTGTCATTTTAATATACTTCTAAACGAAGCAATTCATTGTGTTCTTGTCTCTACACTATAAAACTGAGCTAGACCTATAGTTACATTTGGAGACTAAATTAAGGCATGGACACTTGTTGCTGCTCCTGTTGAGTGGAATTCTTCAACATTCACTTAAATGGAAAATTGGACCCTTGGATTATACATTGATCTGATATGCCAGGTACATTGTCCTTTCATTGCCAGTGGTGTGTCTCTTTATTTATAATTGACAGTGATGACTGCCACTATTTTCTTCAATCATTGAGGATTATACACTTATTTTTTTGCTTTCAGAACGAAGGTGTGCTGTATAAATATTAATATTATTTTATTGTCCTTTATAAATCAGATATACTCATCAAAAAATGGTACTTATTGTTTTATGTTATAAATGCATATAAAAATACTTTTCATGACTGTGTAATAAATCTTCAGCTCAAATATAATTATTTTTTCTTTTTTTTAGAAATGCTGAATTCCGAAATCTGCAAAAAAATAGTGAATGGATTTTAGCAACTGAAGAACATAAAAGGTAATTATTAGATAGTAGGCTCAAGCCTTGTTTGCTAGCTGTTGCACCATGTGCGTAGTGGGTGGTCAGATAACTGTCCAACCCTATCGTACTGCACAGGTCTGTGACACTTTCAGTGTTTCCACACTTTCAGCTCAGAAGCCGTTCTATTTCTTTACAATGGTTCTTTCCATAAAAGCAATATAGAAACAAAAGCAGCCAAATGAAATGTAGATGAAGAAAGGAGGTGCAGAGTGTCATACTGTGAAATTATTCAGTGTGCATAAAGGTTAAACAGGTGAAAGAGAAAAACAAATGCTAATGCATTCCAGTGAAAGGGCTGTGAAATCATCTAAATGTTCTCTTAGGATAACTGTGTAGGTCACTGGACAAGTGGGATGCTGTGGGCTTATAGCTCTTGAGAGCTCTGGTCCAATCCCTGTTGTCACAAAGAACTGCAGTCTTCAGTTTGCCCAGGGGCTATGCCCTACAGGGGGAAGATCTGACAGACAGGAGGGGAAGCAATGCAAGTACTAATATAGCCTCAGTCTCTAGTTTTTATGCAACGTTGGGATGGTGAGACTCCTTGCAGACTTGGCTGGCTTCCTCAGCCTGCATCTCATATATAAATGGTATAGGGAGGGCACTCTTCACTTCTGAGTCACAGCCTGTATCCGCTGATGCAAACTGCCATCTGTGCAGGGATGGAGTGGAAGGCATGGTAAAACTGGAGGACATTCTCACAGCATTAGTGTGATTCATTAGTATGGCCTAGTGATCTGAAGGGATGTGGAGAGGGCCATGCTCAGGCTTTCACTTAGCAAATGTGCCTAAAGGTCATGGTGGGGGAAAAAATCCCACTGAGGCCACAGCATTTAATGTGAAAAGAAATTCATCAATTGAAGGTGGAGATACTTGGGCATAAACAAGTAGACTTTATAAGAATTAAAAACCTTGGAAAGTGTAATAACATGCAGAGAACATAAGGAAAAATGCATGAGTCAGGAAAGACTCTGCCTAAATAGTAAAGTATTATGAGATATATTATTCCACTATTCTAATTTGAAAAATGCACTGTGCCTGCTTGTAGAAGTTAAAAAATCAAACAAACGGTGCTTCACTTTAAACTCAGCACATTCCCACACTAAGCCTAGCGCATGCCCAGAAGAGGCAGTGCATTATTTGGACCCGGCTCACCTGACGTCTGTATAGATCAGAAGTGGGCAAAATGTGGCCAGATGCAGCCTGCCAGGCCATTGCATCCGGCCCGTGGAGCCCCATAAAATTTAGAAAGTTAATATTTATCTGCCCTTGGCTGTCTGTCATGCGGGCCTCTATAGCTTACCAAAACTCAGTAAGCGGCCCTTCACCTGAATTAATTGCCCATCCCTGGTATAGATTAAGCTCCTTAGTGGGGCTTTTTTTGCCACTTTTAATTAAAGCTGATTGATCAGCTTTAGATAAGTACCAAAAAGCCCCTCTGAAGTGCCTGATCTATACAGGTGGTGCAGAGCCGGGTTAAAGTAATGCACTGCTTCTTCCAGTAAAGCGTGGTTTTTGTTTTTGGGGTTTTTTTAACATCTTCAAGTAGCCTCTGAATCTACCTTGCTGCACAATTCCTAATTACGTTTTGGAAGGGATGAATAAACAAAGATGATAAAAACAAATAAGCTGCACTATTACATCAATATATAGATGTTCTAATGCTTTAGAAGTGTGTCTTCCTTCTTGAAGTTGAACTAGCCCTGAAATTATCCAGGAAGAGTGCTGAAATGTACTCAAGCGTATGCCAAGGCTAGGTACAGACATTATACTTTTACTGGAATAAGTCATCAGAAACCAGTCTATACTGGTAACAGAATAAAAGTTCAGCACACACAACCAGTCTATACCCAAAACAGAACAGAAGTTTGGTGCACACAGACTGGTTTAAAAATGGTGGAACCCAGTCTAAGATTTGTCCCCCGCCCCCTCCCAAAAGGCAAATGTGTGTTCTGTTCACTAGTGATCTAAAATATGTCACTTACAGAAAACCGCATAACTTGGATTTTGCCTCAGGCTTTTTGAATGTCTGTGCCTACAGGAGAATAGTGCTTTATGGTCTTTAATTGGCTTTTAGTAATGGACCATATATACAGTATCTGTTTAATATAAAAAATATCACTAGCAAGAAAATGATGGGGGAAAGTGTAAGGAAAAATGTACTTGGTCTCCAAAATGTGTCAAGTAATAAATGTGTTGGACATTCCACAGAAGTTAACCCTCTCTGTTGTTTCTGCTCCTGCAGGTTTCAGTTGCCTTTCTAATTACGGTGGTTGAAATTCTGTAGCAGCTACTTGCTTTAGGAACTTTGATATTTTGTAAAGCTTGATGACAACTTGAGTGGTGTCTTTTTAGACAGTAACATTGATTACTCTAGCATACTCTTTCCCCTACACCTGGAATGATGATTTTGTGATATGTTATCTATGAGTGGTGATTTGGGATATCTGTAAGTTATGACTTGAACATTCATTGTTCTGAACATAAGATATATTGTGCATACAAAAAAAGGAGACTCAAAATCCAGTCCTCCTAAAAATCATTCAAGGCACTACATTTAAAAAGGAGTCAAATAGAAAGGTATTAATGGGCCCAGTAGGATTTTTTCCAGATACCCTGCAGGTTACAATGACAAACTATATGTTGGCAAAGAGAGACTATGCATACACTGTTGTATATTACTTGATATGTAGATTGCTTTGTGCTCTTTTATGGGAAAGTGATATATTAGTTCCCGATTTTAGCTGAACAGCTTAAAATAATTTCAGTGAAACCATTAGTTTGTATTTATTTATGCTTTTGAAATACCTGTAGTTGGTGTAAAACAAATTTAAAAATATGTCTGTTTTTAAATAAAGTAGGAAGCTAAAAATACCACCAGAATACATCATGGTTAAATGCTTTCCAAAGGCATAGAAAGAAATCTTGTGTACTTCAATGGGATGTGGCTCAAACTGTTCAATTATTCCCAGTAGGTTTCTTAAAAGCTATAAACACTATTGTTTTAAAGTTTAAGTATAGGTTGTATTGCAAGTCAATAAGGCCATGCAAGGTGCAAAAAATGCTTATTGGTATTTTATATTCATATCTGTATATTTGATCGTGGTATAACATTTCTCAGCCTCTCTCATTCTCAGTGTGCAGGAGAGGCAACATTTCAGCTGTGAAATGGTTTCTGGAGAGTCATTTAGCTGGATAAACCATAGGGATAGGTCTGACTTAACAGCATTTCTTTCATTTTGAGCAGTATGAGAGACTAGGTTAGAGCAATGCAGGTTTAAGTGTGTTTTGTATATTTACATTGTTCTCTATCATGCTGAGTAAATCCCAGCTGCTCTGTGTGTGTGTGTGTGTTTTCTTGCAGGACAAGATTTTTTTCTTAACTGCCGTGAGAGAGAGTGCGGGTTTGATTCTCCCCCCATATTAAACAACTTAGGGCTTTCTAGAGGTGGAAAGGTTTTCACTTATCATAATGATCTATTCTATCTTTTCTTCTGCTGTCAGTATCAGACGCTAGGCTTACTCAAAAATACTGGATTCTAGAAGCTGAGCTGTGCTTCAGCCTCCATGTGAGCAGGTCAAAGAAAGAGATTCTCTAGGGCTCAAGGGCATTAATAGACATCACTACTTGTATCTTCTTTTGTATTCAGTATCTTTTTTTTTAGCTGGCAGATTTCTAATTAATTTAGAAACCACAGGCAGTTGAAGAGAGTGAACAATGTAATAACCGGCCATGGGGCAGAGTAAAAGTACATCAATTATCCAGGCAGTCATTGCTGTGTATTCCATTCTTGGAGATGTGCTTGCTGTCAGTGTGTGTCAGCTGTACTGCTAATGCCCTTCAGAATTTACATGCATAAACAGTGGCCTTTAAAAATCTGTATGAAGGTAACTTCAGCTTTTGGAATGAAAGCTGCTAGTGCAATGAGGAAAGTGTGAGCTGTCTGGCTGCTGCTTAGTTTCTTAAACAGTATTTTGGGTTTTGAGTCACAGTGTGGCTCTACAGACGACTATCTAACATGAATCTTTGCAACAAATGAATAAATCCTCTAAGAGGTGAGCCACAGTCTGGTCACTGGAACAAAGGAACATAACAGTGTCACGCTAAGCAAGTACTAAATGTACAGTAACCAGTGTTACTATACAGTACTGTCACCGCACTGGTTTTTCCCAACACCATTGTGCAGTAGCAACAAGCTATGGCACAGTAGCTCACTCCTGTTGCGCTGTAGCGTCTCACCATGTGTTGTGTTTTCTCTGAGCAAATGAAGACCAACATCTTTTATATAATATCATCCGCTGTTGTTTTCCTGAAATCCCTGAGGTTCACGGTACATGGATTTCACAGTCAGTTCTCTGGGAAACTACTTTGAGAAACAAACCAAGCCAATGAATTCAGACAACCATTAGTAAGCTGAGCAGCTCCCAACCAAATGCAATCCTTTCTGCTTCTTTGCATTTCTGCTCCCACTTCATTGCATGTGATTCAGCTTGGAAGTATGAGAGTTTGAAAACTAAGAAGCACATTCATATTATGAATAAAAAGATTTGAAGGGACTCTTTTGATCATCTCTCTTGACTCCCTGCATAAAACACAAGCAAGGAATTTCTATCCAGCGATTCCTGCATCAGTCTCGGTATCTTGGGGCTGAGGTGTAGGACTCATCTTTTGGAAGGACATAAATTCTTGATTTAAAGACTAAATGATAGGTAAACCATCAGAATAATGGAGAAGAATTAAAAATTGGAGGCCTGATCCTACTGAAGGTATTGGGAGCTTTGCCATTGACTGTCCTTGCAGCAAGATCAGCTATTTGAATCCAGCCTGCTTTTGATGGCAGCCATCTTGCTTTTTAAAAGTGAAGTGATTCATGATAGTGGCAAGGTAGGGCTGGTGTTACTAGTTATACAACATACTGGCAAAGTGACCACATCTTGCTGCAGCTTTGAAAATGCCAGTTGCATTTAACAGTGGAAGC